ACATGGATGGATGGATGGATTGATGGATGGAGATATGGATGGATGGAGGGATGGATGGATGGATGGGATGGATGGATGGAAACATGGATGGACGGATGGATGGATAGAGGGATAGATGGATGGAGGGATGGAGAGGTGGATGGATGGATGGATAGAGGGATGGATGGATGGAGACATGAATGGAGGGATGGAGAGGTGGATGGATGGAGACATGGATGGATGGATGGATGGAGAGATGGATGGATGGAGACATGGATGGATGGAGACATAGATGGATGGATAGAGGGATGGATGGATGGGATGGATGGAGGGATGGGGACATGGATGGATAGATGGATGGATGGAGACATGGATGGATGGAGACATGGATGGATGGATGGAGGGATGGATGGAGACATGGATAGAGGGATGGATGGATGGAGACATGGATAGATGGAGACATGGATGGATGGAGAGATGGATGAATGGAGGGATGGATGGATGGAGGGATGGGGACATGGATGGATGGATGGATGGATGGATGGATAGAGACATGGATGGATGGAGAGATGGATGGAGAGATGGAGACATGGATTGATGGATGGATGGAGACATGGATTGATGGATGGAGGGATGGATGGATGGATGGAGACATGGATGGATGGATGGATGGAGACATGGATGGATGGAGACATGGATGGATGGATGGAGACATGGATGGATGGATGGATGGATGGAGACATGGATGGATGGATAGATGGAGACATGGATGGATGGATGGAGGGATGGATGGATGGATGGAGGGATGGATGGGATGGAGGGAGACATGGATGGATGGATGGATAGAGACATGGATGGATGGAGATATGGATGGATGGAGACATGGATGGAGACATGGATGGATGGATGGAGACATGGATGGAGACATGGATGGATGGATGGAGACATGGATGGAGACATGGATGGATGGATGGAGACATGGATGGAGACATGGATGGATGGATGGAGACATGGATGGAGACATGGATGGATGGATGGAGACATGGATGGATGGATGGAGACATGGTGTGTTTTGGTCTTGCTGAGCTCAAATGTGGCGCAGTCCCGGCTAGTGATAATGTCTGCACTCGGGATAAGTGATCAGCAAGGGTAAAGCTGAATGGACGAGGCTGCCCGGTGGTGAATGGATGAGGCCACCCGGTGGTGAAAGGACGAGGCCGCCCGGTGGTGAAAGGGCGAGGCCGCCCGGTGGTGAACGGACGAGGCAGCCCGGTGGTGAACGGACGAGGCCGCCCGTGGTGAATGGATGAGGCTGCCCGGTGGTGAATGGACGAGGCTGCCCGGTGGTGAACGGACGAGGCCGCCCGGTGGTGAACGGACGAGGCCGCCCGTGGTGAATGGATGAGGCTGCCCGGTGGTGAATGGACGAGGCCCGCCCGGTGGTGAACGGACGAGGCCGCCCGGTGGTGAATGGACGAGGCTGCCCGGTGGTGAATGGACGAGACTGCCTTGTGGTGAATGGACGAGGTTGCCTTGTGGTGAATGGATGAGACCACCTGGTGGTGAATGGACGAGGCTGCCTGGTGGTGAATGGACGAGGCTGCCTGGTGGTGAATGGACGAGGCTGCCTTGTGGTGAATGGACGAGACTGCCTGGTGGTGAATGGACGAGGCTGCCTGGTGGTGAATGGACGAGGCTGCCTTGTGGTGAATGGATGAGGTTGCCCGGTGAGGAATTTTCTCATTGAACAGTAACCAATATCCTGCAATGTGGGAAATACTTGAAGTAGATATGTAGATGCCTGAAGCTCCCCCAATGGATTCCTTATGTCTGACAGATCCTGGTCATGTGACTGGCTGGGGCCCGAGTCTTGTCTGACAGATCCTGGTCATGTGACTGGCTGGGGCCCGAGTCTTATGTCTGACAGATCCTGGTCATGTGACTGGCTGGGGCCCGAATCTTGTCTGACAGATCCTGGTCATGTGACTGGGGGGCCGAGTCTTATGTCTGACAGATCCTGGTCATGTGACTGGCTGGGGCCCGAGTCTTGTCTGACAGATCCTGGTCATGTGACTGGCTGGGGCCCGAATCTTGTCTGACAGATCCTGGTCATGTGACTGGGGGGCCCGAGTCTTGTCTGACAGATCCTGGTCATGTGACTGGCGGGGCCCAAGTCTTGTCTGACAGATCCTGGTCATGTGACTGGCTGGGGCCCGAATCTTGTCTGACAGATCCTGGTCATGTGACTGGGGGGCCCGAGTCTTGTCTGACAGATCCTGGTCATGTGACTGGCTGGGGCCGAATCTTGTCTGACAGATCCTGGTCATGTGACTGGGGGGCCCGAGTCTTGTCTGACAGATCCTGGTCATGTGACTGGCGGGGCCCGAGTCTTGACTGACAGATCCTGGTCATGTGACTGGCGGGGCCCGAATCTTGTCTGACAGATCCTGGTCATGTGACTGGCTGGGGCCCGAGTCTTGTCTGACAGATCCTGGTCATGTGACTGGCGGGGCCCGAGTCTTATGTCTGACAGATCCTGGTCATGTGACTGGCGGGGCCCGAATCTTGTCTGACAGATCCTGGTCATGTGACTGGCGGGGCCCGAGTCTTGTCTGACAGATCCTGGTCATGTGACTGGCGGGGCCCGAGTCTTGTCTGACAGATCCTGGTCATGTGACTGGCGGGGCCCGAGTCTTGTCTGACAGATCCTGGTCATGTGACTGGCGGGGCCCGAGTCTTGTCTGACAGATCCTGGTCATGTGACTGGCGGGGCTCGAGTCTTCTCTCTCCTGGACTGCGGAGGTGGCTCTCTGGTCTCCACTACTGGAGGGTCATGTGACTGCGGGCTGCAGGGAGCAGCAAATCGTGTTTGTGGGTCGATTTACACTTTGTGGGGGGGGGGAGGGGTACAGTGTGGTCTTTGCCGACCGAAGGACCTCCTCCTATCAGATCTACAGAAGTCTTATTTTATAACCATTACCTACTCATGGAACCTCACATGGAACCTTACATGGAACCCCCACATGGAACCTCACATGGAACCCCCACATGGAACCTCACATGGAACCTCACATGGAGCCTGACATGGAACCTCATTTGGAACCTCACATGGAACCTCGCATGGAACCTTACATGGAGCCTCACATGGAACCTAACATGGAGCCTCACATGGAACCTTACATGGAACCTCAAATGGAACCTCACATGGAGCCTCACATGGAACCTCACATGGAACCTCACATGGAGCCTCATGTGGAACCACCACATGGAGCCTCACGTGGAACCTTACATGGAACCTCACATGGAACCAGTACTACACTGCTACTACACCACTTCTGTACTGTTACTACAGGCATTTCCTCAGTCTCTCCTCCCCCAGTGATCAGACTGTACATTGTAACTTTGTTGTAAGTGTGAGGCTGCAGCAGGGGCTGATCTGTGTCAGACATTTGTGAACACAAGCACCATGATTGTGTCATTTCTCAGTCCAGGAAGTAGATGGTGAAGCGGCGTTGTCATAGAAGGTGGTGGTGTTGTCAGGGGGAGTCGTGTGATCTCTGGGAGGGGGAGGGCCTGGAGTGGTACACACCATTTTGGATGCATGGTCCTGGCCCCGGACACCTCTATCACACACATGGGGCTGTCCGTCCCCCGAGGATGTGGAATGTAAAATATGAAATGTTCTTCTGTGGAATAAAAAGATTTAGAAATGTTTCTGGAAATTCTCTTCATGAAAAGTCGTCGGCGCCTTCATATGTCCTGCCGCTAATGACTGAGGCCGTTCCTCTCCGCTGGGGCCATTCCTCTCACCTGGGCCGTTCCTCTCCACCGGGGCCATTCCTGGTTCCTGTGCACCTGGACTGTTCCTCTCCGCTGGGGCCGTTCCTGGTTCCTCTCACCTGGGCCGTTCCTCTCCACCGGGGCCATTCCTGGTTCCTGTGCACCTGGACTGTTCCTCTCCGCTGGGGCCGTTCCTGGTTCCTCTCACCTGGGCCGTTCCTCTCCACCGGGGCCATTCCTCTCCACCGGGGCCATTCCTCTCCACCGGGGCCGTTCCTCTCCACCGGGGCCATTCCTCTCCGCCGGGGCCGTTCTTCTGCACCTGGGCCGTTCCTCTCCGCCGAGGCCGTTCTTCTGCACCTGGGCCGTTCCTCTCCGCCGGGGCCGTTCTTCTGCACCTGGGCCGTTCCTCTCCGCCGGGGCCGTTCTTCTGCACCTGGGCCGTTCCTCTCCGCCGGGGCCGTTCTTCTGCACCTGGGCCGTTCCTCTCCGCCGGGGCCGTTCTTCTGCACCTGGGCCGTTCCTCTCCGCCGGGGCCGTTCTTCTGCACCTGGGCCGTTCCTCTCCGCCGGGGCCGTTCTTCTGCATCTGGGCCGTTCCTCTCCGCCGGGGCCGTTCTTCTGCATCTGGGCCGTTCCTCTCCGCCGGGGCCGTTCCTCTCCGCCTGGGCTGTTCCTCTGCACCTGGGCTGTTCCTCTGCACCTGGGCTGTTCCTCTCCACCTGGGGCCATTCCTCTCCGCCGGGACCTTTCCTCTCCACCTGGGCCGTTCCTCTCCACCTGGGGCCATTCCTCTCCGCCGGGACCTTTCCTCTCCACCTGGGGCCGTTAATCTCCGCCGGGGCCTTTGCTCTCCACCTGGGCGGTTCCTCTCCACCTGGGGCCATTCCTCTCTGCCTGGGTCGTTCCTCTCCGCCGGGGCCGTTCCTCTGCACCTGGGCCGTTCTTCTCCACCGGGGCCGTTCCTCTGCACCTGGGCCGTTCCTCTGCACCTGGGCCGTTCCTCTGCACCTGGGCCGTTCCTCTCCGCTGGGGCCGTTCCTGTCCGCTTGGGCCTTTCCTCTCCACCGGGCTGTTCTCCGCCTGATCATTCTTCTCCGCTTGGGCCGTTCCTCTCCGTCAAGGCCATTCCTCTCCTCCGGGGCCGTTCCTTTCCACATGGGGCCGTTCCTCTCCACCAGGCTGTTCTTCTCCGCTTGGTCATTCTTCTCTGACGGGGGCATTCCTCTTACATACCGATCACTGTCACACCTCCACACTCCTCCTCCTGTACTATACCGATCACTGTCACACCTCCACACTCCTCTCCTGTACATACCGATCACTGTCATACCTCCACACTCCTCTCCTGTACATACCGATCACTGTCATACCTCCCCCTCTCCTGTACACTCCTCTCCTGTACATACCGATCACTGTCATACCTCCACACACTCCTCTCCTGTACATACCGATCACTGTCATACCCCCCCACACTCCTCTCCTGTACATACCGATCACTGTCATACCTCCACACACCTCTCCTGTACACACGATCACTGTCATACCTCCACACTCCTCTCCTGTACATACCGATCACTGTCATACCTCCACACTCCTCTCCTGTACATACCGATCACTGTCATACCTCCACACTCCTCTCCTGTACATACCGATCACTGTCATACCTCCACACTCCTCTCCTGTACATACCACTGTCATACCTCACTCTCCTGTACACCGATCACTGTCACCCCACACTCCTCTCCTGTACATACCGATCACTGTCATACCCCCCACACTCCTCTCCTGTACATACCGATCACTGTCATACCTCCACACTCCTCTCCTGTACATACCGATCACTGTCATACCCCCCACACTCCTCTCCTGTACATACCGATCACTGTCATACCTCCACACTCCTCTCCTGTACATACCGATCACTGTCATACCCCCCCTGTACTCCTCTCCTGTACATACCTCCTGATCACTGTCATACCTCCACACTCCTCTCCTGTACATACCGATCACTGTCATACCTCCCACACTCCTCTCCTGTACATACCGATCACTGTCATACCTCCACACTCCTCTCCTGTACATACCGATCACTGTCATACCTCCACACTCCTCTCCTGTACATACCGATCACTGTCATACCCTCCACACTCCTCTCCTGTACATACCGATCACTGTCATACCCCCACACTCCTCTCCTGTACATACCGATCACTGTCATACCCCCCCACCCTCTCCTGTCCCGATCACTGTCATACCTCCACACTCCTCTCCTGTACATACCGATCACTGTCATACCTCCCACACTCCTCTCCTGTACATACCGATCACTGTCATACCCCCCACACTCCTCTCCTGTACATACCGATCACTGTCATACCCTGTCACCCCTCACACTCCTCTCCTGTACATACCCGATCACTGTCATACCTCATACCCCACACTCCTCTCCTGTACATACCGATCACTGTCATACCTCCACACTCCTCTCCTCCTGTACATACCGATCACTGTCATACCCCCCACACTCCTCTCCTGTACATACCGATCACTGTCATACCTCCACACTCCTCTCCTGTACATACCGATCACTGTCATACCCCCCACACACTCCTCCTGTACATACCGATCACTGTCATACCTCCACACTCCTCTCCTGTACATACCACTGTCACTGTCATACCTCCACACTCCTCTCCTGTACATACCGATCACTGTCATACCCCCACACTCCTCTCCTGTACATACCGATCACTGTCATACCCCCACACTCCTCTCCTGTACATACCGATCACTGTCATACCTGTCCCTGTACATACCGACCTCCTCTCCTCCTGTACATACCGATCACTGTCATACCTCCACACTCCTCTCCTGTACATACACCGATCACTGTCATACCCCCACACTCCCTCTCCTGTACATACCGATCACTGTCATACCTCCCACACTCCTCTCCTGTACATACCGATCACTGTCATACCTCCACACTCCTCTCCTGTACATACCGATCACTGTCATACCTCCCACACTCCTCTCCTGTACATACCGATCACTGTCATACCCTCCACACTCCTCTCCTGTACATACCGATCACTGTCATACCTCCCACACCTCTCCTGTACATACCGATCACTGTCATACCCCCCACACTCCTCTCCTGTACATACGATCACTGTCATACCTCCCTCCACACTCCTCTCCTGTACATACCGATCACTGTCATACCCCCACACTCCTCTCCTGTACATACCGATCACTGTCATACCTCCACACTCCTCTCCTGTACATACCGATCACTGTCATACCCCACACTCCTCTCCTGTACATACCCATCACTGTCATACCCCCCACACTCTCTCTCCTGTACATACCGATCACTGTCATACCCCCACACTCCTCTCCTGTACATACCGATCACTGTCATACCCCCCACACTCCTCTCCTGTACATACCGATCACTGTCATACCCCCACACTCCTCTCCTGTACATACACTGTCATCACTGTCATACATCCTCCTGTACATACCGATCACTCATACCTCCTCCCTCTCCTGTACACATACCGATCACTGTCATACCTCCACACTCCTCTCCTGTACATACCGATCACTGTCATACCTCCACACTCCTCTCCTGTACATACCGATCACTGTCATACCCCCCACACTCCTCTCCTGTACATACCGATCACTGTCATACCTCCCACTCCTCTCCTGTACATACCGATCACTGTCATACCTCCACACTCCTCTCCTGTACATACCGATCACTGTCACTCCTCTCCTCCCACACTCCTCTCCTGTACATACCGATCACTGTCATACCTCCCCCACACTCCTCTCCTGTACATACCGATCACTGTCATACCTCCACACTCCTCTCCTGTACATACCGATCACTGTCATACCCTCCACACACTCCTCTCCTGTACATACATACCGATCACTGTCATACCTCCACACTCCTCTCCTGTACATACCGATCACTGTCATACCCCCCACACTCCTCTCCTGTACATACCGATCACTGTCATACCTCCACACTCCTCTCCTGTACATACCGATCACTGTCATACCTCCACACTCCTCTCCTGTACATACCGATCACTGTCATACCTCCACACTCCTCTCCTGTACATACCGATCACTGTCATACCCCACTCCTCTCCTGTACATACCGATCACTGTCATACCTCCACACTCCTCTCATACCGATCACTGTCATACCTCCACACTCCTCTCTCTCCTGTACATACCGATCACTGTCATACCTCCACACTCCTCTCCTGTACATACCGATCACTGTCATACCTCCACACTCCTCTCCTGTACATACCGATCACTGTCATACCATCCCACTCCTCCTCTCCTGTACATACCGATCACTGTCATACCTCCACACTCCTCCCTGTACATACCGATCACTGTCATACCTCCACACTCCTCTCCTGTACACATACCGATCACTGTCATACCTCCACACTCCTCTCCTGTACATACCGATCACTGTCATACCCCCCACTCCTCTCCTGTGTACATACCGATCACTGTCATACCTCCACACTCCTCTCCTGTACATACCGATCACTGTCATACCTCCGTACTCCTCTCCTGTACATACCGATCACTGTCATACCTCCACACACTCCTCTCCTGTACATACCGATCACTGTCATACCTCCACACTCCTCTCCTGTACATACCGATCACTGTCATACCCCCACACTCCTCTCCTGTACATACCGATCACTGTCATACCTCCCCACACTCCTCTCCTGTACATACCGATCACTGTCATACCTCCACACTCCTCTCTCCTGTACATACCGATCACTGTCATACCTCCACACTCCTCCTGTACATACCGATCACTGTCATACCCCCACACTCCTGTCACTGTATACCGATCACTGTCATACCTCCACACTCCTCTCCTGTACATACCGATCACTGTCATACCTCCACACTCCTCTCCTGTACATACCGATCACTGTCATACCTCCACACTCCTCTCCTGTACATACCGATCACTGTCATACCCCCCACACTCCTCTCCTGTACATACCGATCATCACTGCTTTGGTCTCCTGGTTGTCAGGGAGCAGTCGGCTGTCTGCAGCTTAACAACCATTAGCCATCCCTGCCTTCCCCAATCCGCTCTCAGCCTGGGGTTCTGTCTGACAACTGAAAGTAAACAAAGGGGCGGGGATGGCAGCTAACACATAATAAAAAAGTCTTTAGATAGACCACATGCAAACAAACAAAAAACCCCCATAAAAGGTGTACCCCCCCCCCCCAATTCTGCGCCCCTCAACCCTCGACACTCCTCTCTTGCAGACATGACATTTTCTTCTTCACTGCAGAATTATAGACATTGTTTCAATAGTTTCCTCCCGGCGTTCTCAGCTCCTCATTGGCTGTAACATTCCTGCAGTTTTCATCATTGATACAATAAAAGAAGAACAGGTTAATTAGTAGCTTTGGAGGAGAAAAAAGAAAAATGTTCTTCTTTGTCCAGCAGGTGGTGCCTGAGATCCGCGGTGGGAGCGGCTGTGCAGGTTCTGCTGTCGCCGGGCGCTCTGCGCTGCAAAAGTCCACTTAATTCCGAATAATTATATTGGAATGTTTTATTTCTGTCATTATTAGCGACTGCAGATCTTATTTGTTGGTGTCAGGGAGGAAATCCTTTGCAGAGAAGAGAAACAAATGTATCAGTCCAGCACCGCCTTCATGTAATAGAAGGATTTCATGGGTCAGAAAATGTCGGGTTCCTCAACCAGATTGGATCCGGGACACTGCAAGGGGAATATGGTTGAGTCAGAACCGTCCTGCCTACGTTCGAAGAAAGTCCACGGAAAAAATGGAACTGGGCCTCTGTGCTGTGAGGAACCATTCAGGCATCATTGGTTACAATGGTACCTTATCACAACATTATCTGCATGGAGTTTGCTTCTCTCTGTGCTTGCGTGGATTTCCTCACACAGACATGCTGGCAGATTAATTGTCGTCTGTCTACGTTGTGTCACTTTGGTTGGGGGGCCCATGGAACACAGCTCACTTTGGGTGGGGGGCCCATGGAACACAGCCCCCTTTGGAGAGGTGGGGAGACCCCTGTCTCAGCTCCCCATATCCCTCTTATGTGTAAGTCACCCTGTGCCTGTTAGGGGTACAGGGTGAAATGTTCTAATATTGGGGTGGGGGTTGTTCACTGTTTACTACCATGAGGTCCCATTGTTCTATTGTGTGTCTTGCTTGGGAGCAAACTATTATTGGATGTATGTGTTTGTGTATTGGCTTGGTGGGGGGTGTCTGCTGATGTGTCTCTGGTTGCTAGATTTGGTTTGCCCCGCCCTGTGTCCATATGCAGGGAGGGGGGTTGTTCCCTTGAATGTTTATATCTTGTGTCTGTGTTAATATAAAGCAGTCTATTTCCTGGGTTTCGTTGAAGAGTGGTGTCCGTGGATCTGTGTTCTGACAGGGAAGTACCCTAGCGCGGTCGGGGTCCGGTTCCATTACATACGTAAATTGGCCCTGGTGTGATCTGTGTTCGGACAGGGAAGTACCCTAGCGCGGTCGGGGTCCGGTTCCGTTACATACGTAAATTGGCCCTGGTGTGATCTGTGTTCTGACAGGGAAGT